AATGGGCAACATTTTTTATGCCACCACTGACATTCTCAGTAATTTCTCAAATGATTGAGTGCAATGTGAAAGGCTCTGCCTTGCCAGCCATTTCTGGGTCTGTCTGAGCAGAAACAACTGACTTGGACATCTTAGCAGCAGGATTCTGGATACATGAAAAAATGGTAGCTTCTGATAATCTTTATGGCTCTTTTTCTGCTTTAAAGCCAGGTCTGAAAGAGTGGGATGAGCGGCAGCAAGACCCTCAGGAGAAAAGAGAAACTAGCTAATGAAGTCTTTTTTAAAGCTACAGATTTGATTGGAAGAAAATGAATCTTCACTGCCCACCCCCCCATAACACTAAACTTAACTTTTTAAAAGGGCTGTGTGCTGCTTAAAATTCAGTTGGGAAGAAATGCTTCAGAGCATGAGGTGTGTGAATGAAGCATTTCTCTGCAATCCATTAAAGCAGTCACATATTTTTTTCAAGATTACACAGATGCTGTGGGTTGTGCTACAACCACAGAACCTTGAAAATAGATGCAGCTGCATTAATGAGTCACAGACAGGTGCTGTATTTGAACTCCTGTATACTCCAAAGCCCCTCTTCCTGATCAAATCTGAAGCATTGTACGATGTTCTTTTTATATAACTGTATAGAATTCACTACCACAAGGTGTGATTGTTCAAGTGGTGTCTTCACATCAAGCTCACTGGACAAAATGGAGCTAGAATATTGGACAAGAAACTGTGTGACAGTATGCTGAACATGATAATGTCATGCCTTTCTTCCAAGGTATTTTTTAGAAGTGATGATGAAGATGATGACCATGAAGATTAGTGCCTCCTGGTTTAATGCTTTTATGTATTTTATAATATCTTTGGTATGCTATGTTTTGCTAATTGCTATTTGTTAATGAATGTGTATTGTTGTTCTGTTTCTAATGCTTTATATAACTTTTTAATCAACCTAAAGAATTCTGATTAATATTAATTGTAACAGTAGCAATGATTTATTTTTTGTTATTTTAAGAACTGTATATAAGATTATTATCATTACAGAATACCCTGTTCATCCTCTGAGAAATTCAAGGCCCACATGGGATTATTTTATTACATCTTCTGAAATGCTTGGAGGCTTAGAGATAGTGGCTTGCCTAAAGTAACACAGTTACACACTCATTGTAATACATCAATGTAGTATTGTAACACATTGGCTAGTTTACTATGAAATGATTTCTCTTTCTCTCTTGTTCTATGATGCCAGTAAAAGCATGAGCTAAGTCAAAAACTGATTCTGTAAAAGTGTGTCTAAATTTTTGCAGATGGCATAATAACAAAAGGCTTTTTTTGTTAAAGTTGTTTGTAATGCAAACAGTTCCATAATTGCTCTTGAATTGTTTTGCTTGATATTTCTTGACGCTCACTGACTGAATGTAAATAACACATAGCATCTTAATAGTAAACATTGTGACCAAAGATCTGTTGGTTCTGATAGTTTACTCCTGGCCTAGAAGAAAAACTGGACCTAAATCCCTTTTAGTTTGACACCTTCAGTGGAGGGAATGAAAAGTTACAGCATAAGGATATCTTACCATTTTTGCTACTGTGGCCTCAGGTGCCAACTGCTGGTCTCTAACATGCTATATTTTAAGTTTTTACCTGATACCTAATGACAAAATATTGAATTTACAGAAAGACTCCTGGCATGAAGGTCCTGGTATATCTTGGTGCATTTCAGAAATAATAGAGGTTGTAGACAGTAACAGAAACATCAGAAGGTCATGATCAATTAGACAATGGACATATAAACACTACATTATATTGGAAACCTGTAGATGCATACCTACATGCTTCCAAATTCTACTCAGAACACACCACCAGATCTATTGTTTTTAGCTGGGTTTTACATAACAATGACATTTCTTCTGACCCGCTAGACAGAGATGCTCTACTAATGGAATTAAACTAGGCATTCAGAAGACTGAACTATCCACCCAGCAAGATCAATAGGCAAATCAGTAGAGCCAGATCAATTCCCAGGGAAGCCCTACTGAAAGACCACAAAAACAGAACAACAAAACACTACTGGTTGTCACTTACAGGTCACAGCTCGTACCACTCAAACACATTATTAAGCAGCTACAACCCATACTGGATAATGACAATGCAGTTTTTCAGGCACTTGGTGGCAGATTCAAACTTACATATAGACAAACACCCAACCCAAACAGATTCTCACAAGCAACAAGGAAAAACTGGATAATGATACTAACATGGGAATCAGATCCTGCAACAAACCCAGATGTCTACTTTGCCTGCACATGTACACCAATAATAGCACTATCACAGTCCCAACAAGCTCACACAGAAGATTAGAAGCACCTTCACATGTTCTTCCTCAAATGTGATATGCCCCTCTAGATTCTATGTAGGATAAACAGGACAAACCTTGTGCAAAAGAATGAATGGGCACAGATTTGACATCAGGACTCAGAAAAAGGATGAAGCACAAGCAGAGCATTTTAACCTCCCAGGACATTACATTACAGACTTTAAGTTACAGTTTTGGAACAAAAGACAATGCCAGCATAACTGAGCATGAGATAGGTGGGCATCCATCCATCCATAGGTTTCAGGCTATCTCAGAATGTCTGAACAAACTCAGTGGGTTTTTAATATAATACAATTGTTGATTGATACTTATCTGTCCCCTTGAACCTTCACCTCACCAACCACCCTGTCTTCACCTCCCTTTTCCCCCTGCTTCATCCATGTGTACTTAAATCCTGTATCAGTTAAGCTACTCCATACATCTGATGAAGTGAGTTACAGCTTATGAAAATGGATGCCTTATAATAAACTTGGTTAGCTTTCAAAGGTGCTATCAGTCTCTTTCTGATGTTTAGCTACCAAAGACTAGCCAGCTGTCCTACAATGTCTGCAGAGAGTAGCAAGCTGTTTTTCTTTTGGATAATAATAAAGACAGAATGGTTTTATCATCTCTAGATCTATATAGATATATGGCTCCAGTATTAGTTCCTTTTCTTTCCAGAATGCCATCAAGACTGTTAGTCTACTCAGAGAAATTAATTAGCCTAAAATCAATGATACTGAAATCTTGAGTCTTGTAAGAGGAGACCTGTGCTAGTCTATGGCAGTAAAAAATCAGAAGTCTGGTAGCACCTTTTCCAACTAACAAATTTTATTAAAAGACATAAGCTTTGGTGAGCTGCAGCTTACTTCATCAGACTATCAGTCAGAAAAGATGCTACCAGACTCCTGGTTTACTGGAATCATAGATTCATCCAGGTTTTATAGCCCTAAGATTATAAATTTAGTCCAGGCTGTTTCAAATGACAAAGATGTTGAGTAATGTGTATGCTTCTCCAGACTGCAAAAACAAACTAACAAAAACCTGAGTTGCCCAAAATATAAATGCCCATTCTGGTCAGATAGGCAATTCAAAGCTAGATAGATTCTTGATCTTGGTTAACAAGTATGAACCAAAGAGAGGGTTATACAAGAAGCCAGGCTTAGGAGAAGGCCAAGTTAGCAAGCACAGGACCATTTTAAGTTGCCAAGTTGCCAGTTGCCAAGTTTTCTATCAAATATAAATGTTCTTCATTGCAGGAAACCACTGAAACTTCAATATATTGGAAAAAAGATCACTCTGGTTACTTCAAAGTAGATTCCTGAATTAATCTGAAAGCGGCCTTGATCTTCTTTGATGAAATAGTGTAATGATGGCAAATGCTTAGGGGCACTTAATGATGCTGATTCTGGATTTTTATTTTTTAATTTATTAGTATTTATATAAGAAGCATACAGTATAAGGCTGCCCAACTCACCCAGCTATAACCCTGAGCAGCATATATCAGTATAAAACAAAAAAGCAATTACAGTTAAACTGCAACAACAATAGACAATCAGGAAACCACATTGGCTCACAAGGTAGGATCTCTTATCCTCCCAGCTCTTAACACTTGGGAGAAGAACCCATTTTTAATGCTTTTCTAAAAGCCATCAAGGTCAGGGGGAACCATATGTTGGGGGAAGGTTATTCCAGAAGTCAGGTACTGCACGCCTCTTGGGTCCCTTCGGATGTCATTGTTTCAAGGAAGGGACCTGAAGCATACCTTATCCTAAGACAGCATGGCAGGCAGAAATACTTGGGGAAAGGCAGTGTTGCAGATGGTCCAATCCCGTGCCATGGAGGGCTTTACAGATGATAACCAGCACCTGAATTGCCCCTGGGAGTCTACTGGGAGCCAGTGCAGCTCGTGAAGTAGTGGTGTTACAGGGGAGGACTGAGGTGCTCTCATCAATACACACAGCACTGCATTCATCAACCAACATTGGTTAATGTTAACCAATTAAGCAGCTCAGGCAAGGAAGCTGCTCTGAGACTAGGGAGGCTGGTACAGCTGCAGCAGTCCCAGCTGACCCGTAACACTCAACCTCACAAGTAGGGTCTCCCAGCTGGCTCTCTGCAGGGCAGAGCCTCTGACAATCTCCAGAGTCTCCTGGATGACTCCCCTGCCCCTACCCCTACCCCTCGGTTACCGCTGGCACCATACGCAAAACCCGGATAGACACATTTCAGTGTCCAACCAGGGCTTGGCAACGTATGCCAGGGCAGCCCTCTCATCTGCAGTGAAATCTCAGGCTTAATTTTGGTGGAACAAATACAGTTTTCCTATGGAGTGACAAAACGTAGACCTGGCTTCTTAACACAGCCTCATATAGTTTATGCTTTCAAAAATGTAATGCAGCACCACTATTTTCTAAATGTGGAAATGGTAGAGACTGGTATTTACATGTGACCATGCTCACATTTCCAGGATTATATTAGCAAACTTTTGTGTCAACTTTAATTTGCTAGATATCATCACTGACTAGTCTGCAGAAGAACTGAATCTGGAAAAGTAAATACGCAAAATTTTCAGCACTAATCCTGTTTCAAAAAGTACAGATAAGCACTTTTTTAACAGCAAGATTTCTGTTTAATTCTAGGAAGGCTAGAGTTCTTGCCCAAGTTTCTTTTTTCTTCTTCCATAATTGAGGAAATAGTCCATTTTTATCAGTGTTTTACCAAGATCAGTGTTCATTCTGCTGCCAATAACATGGTTGGTGGTATTGGGAATCTTGTCTGAGAATATTGGTATGTATTCAGGAAGTCGGTCAGGTACTTTTTCCTTGCCCTAAAAAAAATAAATCATTTATGTGAATAAGAGTTTAATAAGAAATGCTTCTATGGCTATATTACACATACAGTAATCAATTCCATGTTAACTAAATTGGGAAAGATTTCAAGAATGAACATAATAACATTAAAACTATTTAGCTGGAGTAGGCCAAAACTCTGATAACTCCAGGATGTAGCTATTGTAACAAAAACACACTGGTAGTTCTGGTTTTCATAAATTTGGTACAATCTTTCTGGAAATTACCTTGTTTAGTGGCTTTCGCATTGGCCTGTATTTTATGATAATGAACTGAAGTCAATTATATACTGGATGAAAAATTCTGCAGCTGTAACCAAACAGCTAATCCAGTTAATTAAGAACTTTGCGATACAAGAGAAATATTACAATAAAAATAATACAATAATGCATGTGTTTTTTTAAATGCCATCTTTAGCAATATTTTAAAACACAGTTCACTCAGCTCTAATGCAATACTTTTTATTTAGTCATGCGTATAGCATTACCCAAAACATTCTGTTTTTCATAGACTCTAAAATATCTTTCAAAATATTTATTCATGCATAGTTATTAATTATCCAGTCCCGTCTTGAAGTACACATCGTCTGTGCAGAGTCAGAATGGCTGGCTGAGTCTCATTGGAATTCACTTCTTATGCTGCGTAGATGGTAGTTTTTAGAGATGAGAGACCGAGAAAAAGAGATCCTGCCTTTCCCCTGGCCCAAATAATAGTGGGCAGCTTCCAGTTCTTTTGACAATTTCAACAAAAATAGTAAAGGGATAGGAATTCTTGCTTTCTGATCAGCCCAAAGTCTGGGAGATTCCCTTGTTCTGTCCATAGATAGAAGTACAGACAATCTCTTCAACCCAATAGAAAACCAAGTGAGATGTTGATCTTCTGATGCATATGGCAGCATTTAAAATGTTCCTATTAAACTAGAAGTGTGACAATAAATCATTGGCAGAGACTAGAAGACATATTCCTGATTTCAAAGCTGAACAATTCTGACTTAATAAAACTGTTTGGCTATAAGATTTTAAGAGCCTCTCCCAATGAACAGTTCACTGTGGGATCAGAGCAGCCCAATTCCAAAATACCTTCCACTTATCACCAACATCCTCCTGTGTTCATCCCGTCCTTTCCTCCCCTGCCAATTTCTTTCTAAACTATGGAATGTCTGGTTTTCCTTAGAAAAGTGCTGTGTTTGCAGCATCATTCAAATGTCAGAAAACATTACTGTAATACCCTTTTCTCTCTTTGATGTCAGGGTCAATGATTTCATTTCCTCAGTCTCCAGGGAGACATTTTCCTTGCCTCTCCAACTTTCTCCAAAGCTTTGCAAGTTCTCACCATTTTGTTTCCACATTCCCTGGTGTAAATTGACAGAGATACTCAACCCGGGGGTCTTTTCCCTCCCATCTCCAGAACTAGTATCTTATTTATTCCTATGGAGGAAGGAACAAAAGCTTTCCACTTTGGTTTTTTCTAGTCCCAGGGGTGGTCAAAAAAGTCAAGATGGTGACCACAACCATGCAAACAAAGCCCCATCTTTTTTGTGTGTGTCATGGCTTCCTTAAAAAGGGGTGGGGCTTCATTTTCATGGTAATGGCCACCAACTTGTCTTTTTTTTTTTTACCCCATCCCTGCGAATGCCCCTGTCCAAAACCTAGGCCGACTTAAATGAAAAATGGGAGGGGGCTGCAGAAGGACAGTAGGGTCAATTATTGATCAACTGGCATCATTAGAAAACATTTTTGCATTCCCTGCCTTCAGAAGACGATGCAACGTAGAGATAGAGCCATGCAAAATAGAAACAGTGGAAAGCTCTGATTTCCTTTTTATTCAGTGAAAGCTGGGCTTGTAGCAGAACATGAGCTATAAATGAACAGTATTTTGGGAGGTTCCCTGAGCCATCTCTGTCGGGCAGAGTGATAATCACAAACACTCCTGTTTGTGCAGAGCGCAGCAAAAACT